AGGAAGGAAGGAAGGAAGGAAGGAAGGAAGGAAGGAAGGAAGGAAGGAAGGAAGGAAGGAAGGAAGGAAGGAAGGAAGGAAGGAAGGAAGGAGTGGCAGAGACTGCCCCAGGTCTCACACACTCTTCCTCCTTGGTCGTGAACCAGGCAGATCTGCCACTTCAGCGCCTCTAGCCCTTTGCAGTGGGCAAGGTCACAGCGTGACCTCTGCAGCTCCAGCCTGGGATTACACTCTGGAACTGGCCGGCCAGTCCTGCCACTTACCAGCTGTGTGGCCCAGCCTGTTGTGGCAGTGACTGTGGGCTCGTCGCTGTGCGCGGGCGGGCTCAGGGCGCGTCGCTGCGCGCACTGCCGTTGCTGGACTGGAGTGTGGGGCTGACTCTGGGGCCCTCCTCCCATCCGTGAGCTGCATGTGCTCTCCACCCACCGTGGCCGTCACTGGGCAGCGCTCTGGGCCTCAGTTTCCACAGCGCTCAGCATAAGCGCTGGACTGGGGCCTCCACATCCCACCCCACACTGGCCGTTTGCCATGGGATCCAGGCTGGGAGGGCAGCACGCTTACTCTGGGGTGGGGTGCTTTTCACCCCTTGTCAGCCAGCAGCTGACAAGCTCTCCCTAGACCAGCCTTGACCTCATTCAAGTAGCAACCCCTTCCACTTTCTCTACCCCCACCCTTCCAGAACCTTCTGGGTCTCGACTGTATTCAGCTTGCTTCTGCCTTTCTCCTAGAAATCTCTGCGAAGCATGGCTCTCAGACTGTCAGGTTCAGAAAAATGGCCTGGGAACCTGGAGGCAAACTGGAGCTTTCTTGAGGGCTCTTGATGGATGATCTGAGCCAGCAGGCTGGGGTGGGGCTGGAGCCGGTAATTCTGAAACAGGAGGCCCTCGGGCTACGGCTTTGAGAATGACACCCCATGCAGCCCCCCACATCTGGACACACCTTGTCTCTTCCCAACAGTTTCCCCAGGATGAGGGCTCTTGCTGAGAAAGCTCATGGGTAAATTAGAAGAAGGCTTTGTTTCTGTGTTTAGAGGACCTGCTGTATAATCTGCAAATGTTAATGGCTACCATCTAATGGTGATTTAATTCCCCATCTTCTGACACCACATAAGTAAACCATCAAGAAAGACAAAAGCTCCCGTTATAATAGATTATCTTGGCATCACACACACACACACACACACACACACACACACACAAAAACCCTACTTATGTTCCATTAGTTATACTTGAAACCACTCTGGGGTTTCTGCTGGTCCTTTTGGGGGAGGTGAGCATTGACGGGCTCATCCCTGCTGGCCAGGGAGAGGTGAACAAGGGAGGCAAGTCTGCTGGCCTTAGTAAAAGAACTTGAGGCAGAGCGTTCCCTGGGGAAAGGAATACAGCGGGGTGACATAGGGCCTGGAAGTCCAGCCCGGGCTGGTGACCACAAGCCTCCTGCAGAGTGACATGGCACTGATACTCAAATGCTAAGACGCCCCCAGCCATGTGGACATCTGGGCATACTGTCCTGGTCAGAGGGAGGTGGACAGACCCTGGGCAAAAGGAAAGCCAGCGGGCGGGAGCGGATGAACGATAGGAGTGGACAGCATGAGGCAGGGGGCAGGTGATGAAACAGGCCGCATGGGCTGTGAGCACAGTAGCGTGGTGGGAGTCACGATGTTATAAAAGGACTGTGGCCAGGCAGCCGAGGTCACAGGGTGGCCATTGAGGGCTGCACCATGGGTTCTCACGATGGCGGCTCAGGCTGAGGGCCAGAGGGCTGGAGGGACTGGTCAGTGCTTACAGGCAGAGCCGGTAGTGGGTGGAATGCCACCGTGAGGGGAAACGAGGAACAGAGCTCGCTGTATTAGGAGAAACCAAGCTGGAAGATCCTCCAATTAGAAACAAAGAAGCTCTCCATCCCAGTGTTGGGACGCTGGGGCCCCCAGCCCCGGGCCCACCAGTGTTTGGACTCACTGCCACACAGTGCTCAACTCGCCCACTGTGGTCGTACAAGGGGGTCCGCCACAGTGCTGTGAAGCTGTCCACAGCCACTGCAGCATGAGTTCGGTCCCCGGCCAGGGAGCTGACCCACATAGACAGCAGACCTCTCCTGACCAGCCTGCAGCTCCCCTCAGCTGTATATTTCAGTCACTCAGCCTGTTCTTTCCCCCACTCTGTTGCTGGTGAATCCTCTCACCACCCCTCCACAACTTGGGTCTGTACCCCAGTTCTTGTATGCATAAATAAATAAATATTTTGGAGAGGCCCTCCCTGGTGGCGCAGCAGGTTAAAGCACTGCACAAAGAAACTTAAGCCAATTCCGCATGAGTTCGATCCCCGCCTGCCCCGGAGGTGACCACATGGCGCGGCAGACCTCTCCTGACACTCCCGCTGCTCCCCTCAGCAGTCTACTTAGACGGTCTGCCTGTTCTGATCCCCACTCTGTTCCTGGTGAATTCTGTCACCCTCCGCATCTCTGGCCTGTACCCCCAGTTCTGTATGAATAAATAAATAAATCTTAAAAAATATATATTTTGGAGAAAAAAAAAAAAAGCTCAGTCCATGGTGGTCCTGCGGCATCTGGAAAGACTCCAGTTTAAGGAACCTCAGCTATCATTGCTGGAAATTTCTTTTTTGGTTTCCTAAAATTCCTGCTTTCATATCTCATGTCTAGTGCACCTGTCTGAAATAAAGCGTTCCTTTCTTTAGTTCAGAGAAGATGTATTGATTGCACAGCGTCTAGGCACTGGGGATACAGCTCTGAGCAAGAGACAATCCCCTGACCTCAGGGAGCACCCATCTATCTGGGAAGGAAGGGAGAAAACTGCATGTCATAAGGCTGTTAGCGTTGAAACACATAAAGATGAGGGGTAGACAGAGAGGATTTGCAATAAGCTGACACTGAGCCAGCCCTCCAAGACGTGAGGGAGGAGGCCAAGTTTCTAGAAGTCCAGTTATCAAGTTGTATACATTAAATATGTACAGCTTTTCAATGTCAATCATATCTCAATAAAATGGTTTAGGGAAAAAAGAAACCTCTAGCGAGAAGAGGATGTCTCTGTGCAGGCACACGGGCGCCTTGGCTTCATCTGCGCCTCCTTTGAAGAAGTAGGTGTGCTCTCAGAAAGTTCTGTGTGCTCATCAAATATTTGTAAATCAAATCATATTTTAAATGCATCCAGGGAACCTCTATTTAAAATGACTCCAGAGTAAATGAGTCTGAAAGTAAATAAAACTTTTTGATGTGAATAATTTATCTAGCTTGTAAGTATGGATTTTCACATAACCGTTGCTTTATTGTGTCTTTCTAAATTTTAATTATTTCTGAAGTGGGGGCAGATAGAGTCGAGTGCTGAGGGCCGGGGCTCTGGAGGCACAGAGATGTGGCTTTTAAAGCCCAGATCCACCTCCCAGTGTGAGCGTGGACAAGTGAGTCCACTTCTCTGAACCTCTCTGTTGTAGTTACATAATGAGGACGGAGCCCTTGCCGAGGTGCGAGCCGTCGTCAATGCCAGCACACACCCGGCACAGGCAGCGTGGAGTGATGTGGTTGGGTGTGCTGTGGTGCGGTTGGCAGAGGGTGGCTGGGCAAGAGCGCTTTTTGTATGCTTAAAAAGTGGGAGCCAGGACCCCATGCTTTGCGAAGGTGCACACAGGTACCCAGTCAGTCAAAAACAATCACAGAAAGCTCATGGCTCAAGGCCATAGATCCCCTCGAGCATGACCTGTGCTACTTGTGTTTTGCAGAAACATGGGCTGCGGCTTCATCTTCGAAACCCCTACTCCTTCACCCCCATGCTGGAAGAAGGCTCAAGGAGCAAGGCGCCCAGGTCCCTTCTGCTGGGCACAAGCATGGCAGAAAACCAGAAGCAGATTGCCCAGTTCTCTCGGAAGGATGCCCAGGTGGGGATGCGAGCAGGCACTCAGCAACTCTTGCTTCCCTGCCTGGAGGTGGCTCTTGCTGGAACTGTCCTAGACAGTGTCCGAAGGCCGTGGGGGCTTGGACAGGCCTCGCCCCTGCCCTAGACCCAATCTCTACTGGCCTTTGATCCTGGGCACTGTGAAGGGCAGCGGATGGACAGTGACTAAGACCATGGACACTTCCAGCCCCAAACCCATGTGTGTTCAGTACAGGTGACTGCTGAATTTCTAAGGACGCCTGCTGGCCTGTCCTTCTATTGAAAGTGCTTTCTGTCTCCCCAGTTTTTAGACTGAATTCCAACTGGTTATCTATATTAAATATTAAAGCAAAAGAGAAAAAGGAACGGAGGCCCAGAGACAATTAACTGGGAATTTAGGACAAGACAGTCATAATAAAAATGCTTTCACTTGGGCACCAGTCCCCTGGTAGCCTGGGATCTTGTTGATATGGGGTGTTCTCAGCTGAAGGAGAAGGCCCTTGTCCCTTCGGATTGCACTGGAAGGAATTCGTTGAGTTTACTTTGTGCTGATGCATCGCTGACTAATGCAATGGGCCTGCTGTGATTGATTTTGCAGCTCTAGAAAGATTGTTTGAATGATCTTTTTGGGTAGCAAGCTAAAAGGTGGTATCTGCTCTGAGCTTGGTGGGGACATTTTTAGAAGAAGAATCTGGGGTATACAACCCCTGGGTAATGCTTTCGGCATCTGGCTCCAAAGAAAGGAGCCCAGATTTTCGTGTTTTCTTTGTGTTTTTTCATCTCAAATTCCTGCTGTGGAGAAAGCTGTTTCACTTTGTTTTTATAGAAATTTCGCAAATATCCTACATGGAAGTTTTCTTTGGTAGCCCTTTGAAAACCCTCGTTTTCTTTGGTAACGTGTGTATCCATGAGTCAAGATGAGTTAACAGCTCTGGTGCTGGGCGGCGAGAAGGGCCTCGCTGGCGTGGCCATCTGTCCTTGTCCTGCCCCTGTCATCCCAGGGAAGGCGGGCATGGTAACCAGGCTGTCAAAGTGGATTCAGCTGTGGGGTGAAGAGGCACGGTCTCCTATTTCTGCTGTGCTGTGGGAGCTTTGCACACCTGGAACGGGCTGGGTGCGGACACAGCGGGAGAGAGCTTCCTTCTACCAGAAATGCATAGGAAGGCAGCATGGGAGAGGGACTTTTGAGTGGCTTCAGCGTTTGTCACGGAGACCACGTCCCAGGATTCTGGCCCGCTCCCTGTGGCTGATGCATGGTCCTGGCCAGCACGCCCCTTGTCTGTGCCACCGGTGACCGCTCGGCCCCAGGATCTCTGATCTCCTGGCACCAAGCAGCACAGAGCTGTAGGAGTGGGAGTACCCCGACATGGGCACAGTGGGCATGAAGCTTGAGGCACCAACAAAGCTCTGCTGGGAGGTTCAGTGGCTTATTTGGGGGCAGCATGGAGAACAGAACAGAGTGCAGGTGCAATGCCTGGTGCAACTTGACTGGGGCCTTGACTCGGGGCTCTGTTCCAGGCCTTCCCCAAATACGAGGCATTCATGAGCCGCTTGGCATTGGCCATTGACCCTCTGCTGGACACCGCTCCTGTGGACCTGGAGGCCTTTCAGCGGGGCTCTTTGTTGCAGAGGCTCAAGTCGCTGTCCACCCTCCAGCCCCTGCTGCAGGCAGGTAGGTCCGAGGTGCGCGTCAGGGGCTGAGCGGCCCCCGTGGATGCAGCCCTGATACTCCCAGCCTGGCTATAAGCCCGAGGCTCCAAGGCAGCCCGCCACCTGCCCATCAATTCATAGGGGGCTGCTCCATGCACTTATTAGTAACACAGAGGTCCCTGGGGTGGATGTGGGAGGAATCAATCCAGTCAGATCTGGCACAGATGCCCAAAGTCCACGTCGCCTCCAGACCCCAGAGCACGGGCTTCGGGTCGTGCACTGGCGACACACACTCGCGCAGTAAGCATTCACTGAGCAGCTGCAGTGTCAGACCGAGGCGAGGTGCTGGGGCTACCACGGCGGAGCTGGTCCCCGCCTTCAAGACCCCCGTGCCCATATTCTCTTTGCAGTCCTGTGAAGAGTATAAAGGAATGGGTTTGCCAAGCGGGCACCTTCCTGGGGCACAGGCCTTCAGAGTTCAAAGGAAGGAAAACACGAACAAGATCCCCAACATAATGCGAACCGCCCAAAATCACTAAATGCCCATGAACGCTCGGGGCTTTATATATCTCATTGAATGTCCACAGTGGCCCTCTGGGGCATGAAATATGACTCCATTTCACAGATAAAGAAACAGATGCAGAGACATTATAGGTCCAGGTGTTTCTTATTGCCTGCCTCGTGTGTGGTTATGTCCCCCCTTCAGGCCGCATCCTAGGGGCCCAGCTGCCGCAGTATTACCAGGTCCTCACGGCTCCGATTACCAAGGTGAGAGACTCCCCAACTTCAGGCCGGACGGGTGCGGGGCCCTCTCCTCCCCCGCAAGGCCCCAAGCCCTTCTCTGCTGTTCTGCTGCCCAGGTGCTGGATCAGTGGTTTGAGTCGGAACCTCTGAAAGCCACCCTGGCCACGGACGCCGTCATCGGCGCCATGACCAGCCCCCACACGCCGGGCAGCGGGTGAGTGCGGCAGGGGGGCTGAGAGGGTGGGAGTGGGGTTCCCACCTGATTCTCTGAGCTGACCCAGCGAGCCAGGCTCCAGGCCAGGTGCCCGACACAGCTTGGCCGGCCCCCAGGCCAGCCCCCAGAGCAAGGTCTGAGAGAAGGGAGCCCCTTGCTCAGAGTCAGGGCGCCAAGGTCACAAGCTAACTTCCAGGCAAACTGTCGGATGCCCCCAACCCCCACCCCCACCCCAGCTTCCTGCCTCCGTTTTATCCTTCTTCCCACCTCCTTTCTAGTCTTCATTTTTCTCCTTCCTGCTTCAGTAAGAAAAGCCTCTCTCCCCCCTCCCGCTGTGACAGCTCAACGTGGACATCTTGCTTCCACTCTTCTCTCTGTCTCTCCCCTCCTGTGGAGCCCCCCACCCCGTGCCCACCCGCTCCCCAGCCCTCGCTCCCTCCCGGGGCTCCAGGGCAGGGGCTGGCACAGACACCCTCATGGTTCGCCTCTGCCCATCCCTCGGGGTGCGAGTGGCTGCGCTGACGGCCCGATCCAACAGGGGGCAGCAGTCGCACACAGCGGAGCCTGAGGTGGAGGTTGTGGCTGGTTAAATGAGCCCTGGTAAGGGGAGCAGGGATGGAGGCGTGCGTGTGTGTGTGTGTGTGTGTGTGTGTGTGTGTGTGTGTGTGTGTGTGTGTGTGTCGGGATCCAGGACGCTGCCAAGCGTTGGGCCATTTCCAGGACACCAGAAGACACAGCTAGAAGCTGTCAATGTAGCTTTTCTCTCAAGGGACAGAGCGCCCCTTGGAAGTGGTTTCTCCACCCACAGTGACCCAGCCCCATGTCCCCGGCCTTGAAAAAGGGGGTTGGCAGCAGTTGCCGCCCTTGGCCAAGCTGTGTGAGCCACCAGCCAACTTGGATCCTCCAGCTGGGGCTGCTTATCCTTTTCTCTGTGGGTCTTCCGCCCTGCTTGTGAAATGTGCCTTTAAGTAATTTGTTTCTTCATTAATTCCTTCAATAAATATTGATGGAGTACTCACCTGGGCTAGGTGCTGGGGAGGGGTTAACGAACGGAGCTGGCCCCTCATGGAGAGCAGGTAATGACCACGGAGTCCTGGAGTGTGTTCACCGGGAGCGAAGCAGGAAGGGAGCGGTCTCGGTCAGAGACCCTCCGCCTGAGCCCCCAGCGTGGACAGCGTCCGTTCCACAAAGAGGAAGGGAGGCCTTCTCGGCTGCATGTGCAACAGGCGGGCAGAGCAACACGGACGCCATTCAAGGGCCAGCGGTGTCCGGTGCGAGTATGGGGCGTGAGGGGGAGCAGCGAGGGGTGAGGCGGTCAGCAGCAGGAGCCCCCGTCCACTCTGGGGACTGGTCCCCAAGAGCAGCGATGAGCCACTGCAGGCTTGAAGGAGAGAAGCCAGCGAAGGAGCAGAGCTGGGCTGGGCTCAGCTCCAGGTTGTGGAGGAGAGGGCTTGAGGCCAGACACAGGGAAACCCGCAGAGGTTAAGGAGAAGGGCGTGGCCGCGGGGAGCCGGCCCTGGGGGTCTCTTCCTGACCTGCCTCTGCTGAGATGGGGAAGATTG